AAAAATCCAAAAAGCACTTTGTCTACAAAGAACACAATCATATGAATGGAAGGCTAGAAATAGTTTATCCATTGATATATTGTTTGTTTGAGAAATTAATTAGTTCATTCATTCACTCAAGAAATGGTTATTAAATATGTGAGTGTGCAAATTTGCAACAATTTTTTTCTACATTTATCTCTTATCATGGATATTTCTACATCTTATACCATAATTACATTGAACTAATTATGGTCATTGGAAACCACAGTTCCCATTTCTGTTTCCAAATGGTCAACTATATATTCATTTGTAATATATATTTCCCTACATAGGATTTACCAAATCATTTTTAAAATCTTGTTTGAATTTTACATTCATGACATCATCTAAAACTTTTTAAATTTTGTTAAATTCCTACAAAAATCTACAACATTGCAACTATTCTAGAAAGATGAATAGACAAGTCTTGTAAGTTACCTGTGTGCCAAAGAAATTATCACATCGATGTATTAGTCTGTTCTTACATTGCTATAAAGAATTAAACCTTGTTTCTTCATAAATTACTGGACACTGGGTAATTTATGAAGAAACAAGGTTTAATTGATACAGAGTTCTGCAGGCTGTACAAGAAGCATGGCTGGGAGTCCTCAGGAAACTTATGATCATGGCAGAAATGTAAAGGGGAAACAAGCACGTCTTCAAATGGCAGCAGGAGAAAGTGAGTGACGGGAGAAATGCTACACACTTTTAAACAACCACATCTCATGAGAACGCACTCACTATCATTAGAATAGCAAGGGGAAAACCAAACTCCATGATTGAATTACCTTTCACCAGGCTCCGACCACCAACATTGAGGATTAGAATTCTGCAGGAGATTTGGGTGGGGACACAGAGCCAAACCATATCAATAGATACTTGAAGAAGACAAGAATCTGGGGTGTAAAACCGGCCCTGGAGAAAACAAAACAAAACAAAAGCTTAAAAATGGACTAGAACTGAACCTGGAAACCATCATTCTCAGCAAGCTGACAGAAGAGCAGAAGATCAAACACCACATGTTCTCACTCATAGGCGGGTGTTGAACAATGAGAACTCATGGACACAGGGAGGGAAGCACTACACACTGGGATCAGTTAGGGGGAAATAGGGGAGGGATGGTGGGGGGTGGGGAGTTGGGGAGAGATGGCAAGGGGAGAGATGCCAGATGTAGGTGATGGGGAGGAAGGCAGCAAATCACACTGCCACGTGTGTACCTATGCAACAATCTTGCATGTTCTTCACATGTACCCCAAAACCTAAAATGCCATAAAATAAATAAATGGAAAAAAAAAGTTAAATAAGTATCCTTGATGGCTTTCAGAAGGATATTGCATCCATACAAAAGGGAACTGGAATGTCCAAAAGAGTCAGGGGCAAATATTCAGAGAAAAGGAGCACCTGAGTGAAGATTAATTGTCTTGGATCTGGAGGGTGGGAGGAAGGGGCAGAAGTCAGAGCTGAGTTTGAAGCATCTGAGCTAATAAAGTCTCTAACTACCTCCATCACAGGCAGATGATTCACAGCCACTCGACCTTCCAAGCTCATTAATTCCCTGTTTAAAATATCCAGGAGATGGATTACTGTACTAACTACTTTGCACACTGGATTTACAGGGAGGATTTAGTGAAATACTCCCTCTTCCAATAAATCACACTATGAATATTGATTGTAGTGCCCTCTACTTATCTAAAAGTTTTATGTGGATTATAAAAAAAAATGCAGTGAATGTTTCTGTGGAAGGGTTTGGAGGGGAAGGATCTTGTCGAGAAAACAAATCTATGGACATGTTCTAAAATATGTGAAGCCAGTGTTTACAGCATGAAGAATGAGTATATAACACAGCACTGCCGATTGGGACCAATTTATTAGATGCTATACAAGTGCTAAACTGCCTTAAATCAATAGTTTGCAAGACAGCAGAAAGTTGGGCGTGATAAGTCATCATCTTAATGAAATATGGATTATTCCAAAACTATTAAACAAGTGGTTGGTGTCAAGTAAATTGCTCACTTTTCAGAGCTAAACAAAACCATTTATTTCAGAGCAGAGAAATCAATAGACACCCGTGGCCTGCCATGTAGATTGAATATATAAACACATATATGGTTACAATTTCTCACTGGCAGCTGGCTGGGTTCTGTGCTCTTCATTGTTATTTAGTTTCTGAGAAGTAATTTTATATAGTGTTTGCTGGAGGAAAGAGTAAAAAAAATACTCCCCATCTCCCTCATCTTAATTTTTCTTCTCATTTTCTTTGCTGGCATTTACAGAGCATCTAATATGTGATTATAGATACTGTCCTTAGTTACTTGTCCAGATTATTTTAGATAGTATTTAAAACAATCCTGAAAAATAGGAATTATTACCCTATTTTTCTACCTGAGGAATAGATGTGATGGTAAATGATCCCTAGGTCTCTAGCTGATGTACAGTAGGTCTTGGGAATTCTTGGCTTCCATGATCATGTAAGCTAATTCCTATAATAAATTTCTTCTTATATATCTCTAAATGCTTATTGTTTCTGTTTTTCTGGAGAATTAGAACCAGTGCAACAGAGGTGGAGAGCTGCTATGTAATTTGCCTGAAGTTAAACAGTTAGTAGGTGTGGAAAGGGCATAGAATTCAGATATTTGAATGAGCTTTGCTTTCCATTGGGAAGTCTGGTGAACATAAAATCAATCTTTACATAGAAACCAAATTGTCCTATGCTGTAAAAATTCCTCTTTGCCGGTCCCCCTCCTTTTAAGTGGTACAGTGGTGTGTCTTCTTCTGAGAAACACACTTCTCAAACAGATATTTCCTCATGTGATCCATCATCAAACAAACTGTGGATCTTGGTCAATAATACAGATTCTGCCAACCATCCATGAGTTATTAATACAAGGAAGATTTTTAAGTGGAAATCTGGAGACTTTTATTTGTTTTTGTTTGTTTGTTTGTTTGTTTGTTTTGGAGTGGGGGTCTCATGGCAGTGTTAAGGGAAACATTCAAATAACATATCTCAAGCTACTTGCTGAGATCTGTGGATTCTGAAATCTGCTATTGAAGCCTCACAGCCTCAAATAAAGAAATAAGAAAGAAAAATCAGTTCCATGTCTTTGTCCACGTGGTCTTTCTTTGTAGTTCATTTTATTTTTTTGCTTTCTTCTTCTATTACTTTTTATTAATGCCATCAGTACACTCCTTCTCCTCACCATTTTAGTTACATTATAGATTTATTTTAACAGGCTTTCATGCATTCTTTTGCTCATACATTCAATAAATATTTATTACGTGCCTTTTGCGTGACAGATATTGTAACATTTAGTCATCAGGCAAAATTGTAAGGTACATTTTATTATCAACACCTTCTTTTATAGTTGATGAATTAAGATTGTTCCTTGATTTACATTAAGTGGAATATTCAAAACTTGATTTAATTTCTTTTTTTTTTTCTTTTTTTGAGATGGAGTCTTTCTCTGTCACCCAGGTGGAGGTTGTAGTCGTGTGATCTCAGCTCACTGTAACCTCCACCTACTGGGTTCAAGCGATTCTCCTGCCTCAGCCTCCTGAGTAGCTGGGATTACAGATGCCCACCATCACACCTGGCTAATTTTTGTATTTTTAGTAGTGGTGGGGTTTTACCATGTTCTAACTCCTGACCTCAGGCAATTTGCCTAACTCGGCCTCCCAAAGTGCTGGGATTACAGGTGTGAGCCATCCCACCGGGCCAGATTTAATTGATACAGAGGTAGAATCTTTCCAAGGTGTTTCACATATGTCAGCTCACCTGGACCCTTAATAACTTCAATATTTTCTTTCTATGACTAAGTGCACATAATAATTTATTTTTCAAAAGTATTTTTAAGATGGCTTTTAGGTATTAGGTGCTTAGGATAAAATGATGAGTTTAAAAATACATTAACCCTGGTTTCCAGAAGCTATAGTCTTTGGAAGGCTGAGGTGAAATAATCACTTGATCCCAGCAGTTCAAGATCAGCCTGGACAACACAACGGGACTTTGTCTCTGTAAAAAGATAAAAATATAAAAAATTTGCTGGATGCAGTGGCATGCACTTGTTTTCCCAGCTACTCCAGAGGCTGAGATGGGACTATTGCCTCAGCTTCCTGAGTAGAAAATACGTACTTAAGTTATTTACCCAAATAATATATGATTATAATTTATGATTAATGTTATTAAGAAAGTTATAAATTGCTATTAGACAACAAAATGGAGAGAGGCTTGTAGGGTGAGCACAATTTCCCTAATAAGTGATTTTTTTTTTCTGACAGGGTCTCACTCTGTCATCCAGGCTGCAATGTAGTGGTGCAATCACAGTTCAGCCTCCCGGGCTCATGCAATCTTCCCATCTCAGCTTCCTGAGTAGCTGGGTCTACAGGCACAAGCCACTGCATGCAGCAAATGCTTATATATACATTTTATTTTTTGTAGATTCAAGTTTCCACTATGCTGCCCAGACTGGTCTCGAGTTTCTGAGCTCAAGCCGGCCTCCTGCCTCAGCCTCCCAGTGTGTTTGGGTTACAGACTTGAGCGACCGTGCCTGCCCTAGTTGTGTGTGAAAGTAAATACTGGGCTACAGAGCTAGAAAGTACAAAACTATGATAGAGTTTTCAGGTTGTGTGAGCATCTAGGTCTTTACACTTGGGAAAAGAGACATGATAGGATGACGAACAGCAGTATGAGGCAACCAGGCAAGTTGGAGCACAGGAGGCTTGCTCTCCACCCTGTGATACCTCTGACACCAGGGTGGAATGTGACCTCTCGCAACCTTCAGAATGCTCCCTGTTTGACCTCACGGCCACATGCATCTGCTACCTGCTCACCTCTGCAGATATCACACTGAACTGTGGCATTCCTGGTAAAGTTTAAAAGATAATGCAAGCTTCATGCACTGTCCTGTGAAATGTATTCACAATCTAGTGGGACTAAGAAGTGTGTAAATGGGTGACTATCTACCTATGTGATCATTAGAAGCCTTGGCTTTTAGTGGAGAGTGACTTTATTTCTTTGTCATAATACAGATTAACAAAGCTTGGTAGTTAGGATGACTCCTAAGGCTCATACTGAGAAAAGACGTGAGAGAACTGGAAGAGTAGGTGAAAATGTGAGTTTAAATAACATGGTGGATGTATGCAGCAGTAAGGAAGAGATGCCTAATAGCATGCATCAAAAGACCTAGAGATATAACATAAAGCTGTATTAAAGGAGATGTCGAAAAATGGTCAGATGATGAATTAGAATAGTAGAAACAAAGGTGGGAAGATATATTTGGCCTTCAAATAGAGCTTGAGGAAGATATTTCTTCCTTTGAGTTGACAGCACAATGGTTGTGGAGGCCATAATAACACAATTCAAGGTAACAGATGTGATTTGTAAATATTTGGAATAAGTGCTCCGTCGCACCACCCACAGTCCATTGATGTATTGTATAATAATCTTGTAAAAATACATAGCAAATGTTATAAAGTACGAACCCCAAAAAACAAGTGCTCAATTTTTTATTCAGTAATGAGTGATATAATGCAATTTGCTCATTTATATTAAATATCAGACTTTCTGAAATAGTTTATGCGATGCTTTTGCACTGGTTTCCATGTCCAGGAAGTTTTGAATTCTTATCCCCTGCTACAATTTTTTATTTAAAAAACATATTTTAGTATTTGCATCCTCTTACTTTTCAAAAATTTGTTATCTTTAATGCATGTAACTCTAAATTCTGTTTCACATGGTGACATAATGTATACAAAAAGAAAACAATGAATGAGTGTCCTTTGTGTATTATCTACCAATGTATTTGGCCATGAATATGATGCATAGAATTTGTTAGCAATAAAACACATCTATTTAATTGTCAGCCTACGTTGATCAACGGTGATGTCTTTAAAGTTGGTCTTTAATGTGTGAGAAGTACTAGTATCCCAGTGCTGCATGTTTTTTAGCTGTTTTATCTCCTGTGCATTCATTTTATATTTGCAAATGGGGACAACAGTAATTATTACACCATTGTGAGGATTAAGCAATGCAGTGACACCAAGTAGGCTGTCAGCAAGAGATACACCCTTTCCTCTTTAATAATTGCTCCCAAGCTAAAGTATTTAATAATTCTAACAAAGATAATAGCTAGAAAGATTTCAATTTTATTCCTACCAAATGGTGCTAGTGAACATAGAAGGATAAGATGCTAATAAAAATCTTCTTTAATTTCTCAAGGTTGCTAAATTAAACTGGAAACAGCAAAGCACCGGTATTCTTCAAAGACGTTTGCAATTATTCAGCCAACACTCCTTTCCTATACCTCTCATACAAGCTTTTGTACTTTAGCTTCACACTTAGAATTTCCAGCCCCGCTGCAAATACAAAGTGTTAAGAAAGGAAGAATAAAATTATTAGCATTTAATGCTCAGTGAACATTATAACTCTGAAAACTCTCTACTTAGGAGAACTTATACTCCGGATGCTAAATGTAGGAAGATGTAGGAAGACACGTTGGTACTTAAAAAGAAATAGCCAAAAATAAATTCTTCAGGCCCAGTTGGCTTAGAATGTGAAACAAGTGTTCCCATTTGCAAATACAAAATGAATTCAAGGAAGAACTTTTTAATTCTTTTCTGGGAAGTCTTTTTGTTATAATTCTTTTCATCATGAACACTATTTTAAGAATATTGTAAAAATTTATGTCAAGCAGAAACATTGCATTCCAGTGCCCCCGACTTGCTATAAAAAGTAAAGAAAAAAATGATTATTGATATGTGGTTTCCACATAAGGAGTTTGTCTCTTGTCTTTGTGCACAGCACTCGCTATATCTGGAATATTTTTCCCTTCTCTCTACCTTGCAAACTTCCATTTGTCCTTTGAATCTCAGTTTATCTGTCATTTTGTCTAAAAAGTCACCTAGACCCTTTCTATACATACAAATCAACTACTTCCTTTAACTTGATATGTACATTCTAAACAACCACTCCACTTTGTCAAGTCAAGAACTCAGCATTTTACTTACATTATATAATTTAGTCATCATACGAATCAATGTGTTATTGTCTCCATGGTGCAGGTATTGAAACCTAAGTAATTTGGATTCAGCTATTCACTCAATGTCACCTTGTGGTTGTCTAGACTTGAATTTGAATCTAGATATACCTGGCCCCAGTATTGGGCCCAAGCTTACCCTGCTTTTCTGGTTTTCCTCATAATTATTTTACCCACCTTTGCTACAGGTGAATACATTTCTCAGACCTGTTGTATTTTGTGGCATTTGGACTAAGACAAGCAGTTGGTCACACAGGATATCATATTAGGCTGGTAGATGTCAATCACTGGATTTGTAGAAAGGCAAGCCTGTTTTAAATTTGAGGTTCTTTCCTATTGCTTTGTGGCCTTGGCTAAATTAGTTAAACTCCTTTAAGCTGCAATTTCCTCATCTGGAAAAGCAAAACAAAACACAACAACATCTTGCACATACAAAGTGTTACTTTATAATTTTCTGATGGTTAGTTGAGATATCAGTAAAGGTGATTAGAGTGCCTGTATTAGTCCATTCCTGCACTGCTATAAAGAAACATCTGAGACTGGGTAATTTTTAAAGAAAAGAGATTTTATTCCCTCACAGTTATGCAGGCTGTAATGGAAGCTTAGAAGATTTTGCTTCTGAGGAGGCCTCAGGAAACTTATAATCAAGACAGAAGGTGAAGGAGAAGCAGAGATGGATTACGTGGCTGGAGCAGGTGGAAGGGAAAGAGGCAGTAGGTGTCACACACTTTTACACAACTAGATCTCATGGGAACTATCATCATGACAGCACAAAGGAGGATGGTGTGTTAAACTATGAGAATCCCCCACTCCATAATTCAGTCACCTTCTACCAGGCCCCACCTCCAACACTGGAGAATAAACTTTGACATGAGATTTGGTTGAGGACACAGATTCACACCATATAATTCCACTCCGGACTCTCCAAAATATCATGTCTTTCTCACATTTCAAAATACAATCATGTCTTCCCAACAGTTGTTCAGAGTCTTACCTCATTCCAGCATTAACTCAAAAGTCTAGAGTCTATCTGAGACCAAGTAAGTCCCTTCTGCCTATAAGCCTGTAACATCAAAAACAAGTTAGTTATTTTCAACCTACAATGGAGGTGTAGGAATTGAACCCACCATGGCAGTCATTAGATGTTAAAGCTTCAAAATAATCTTCTTTAACTCCATGTCTCATATATAGGGCTTGCTGACGCAAGGGGTGGGTTCCTAAGGCCTTGAGCAGCTTTGGCCATGTGGCTTTGCAGGTTTCAGCCCTCAACAGTTTCTCCCAAGGGCTAACATTGAGTGCCTGCAGCTTTTCCAGGTGCAAAGTTCCAGTGGATTTACCATTCTGGAGTCTGGAGGCTGGTGGCCCTCTTCTCACAACTCCACTAGGCAGTGCCCCTGTAGGGATTCTGTGTGGGACTTCAATCCAGTGTTTTCCCTTGACATTGCCCTGCTAGAGGTTATTAATGAGGGCTTTGCCCCTGTGGCAGGCTTCTGCCTGGACATTCAGGCTTTTCAAACACCCTCAAAAATCTAGGGAGAGGTTCCCAATCCTCAACTCTTGCATTCTGTGCACCTTCAGGCTTAACACCATGTGTAGACTGCCAAGCTTAGGGCTAGTACCCTCTGAAGTAGTAGTCTCAGGTGTACCTGGGCCCATCTGAGCCTTGGTTGGAGCCAAAACAACCAGGATGCAGGAAGCAGTGTCTCAAGGCTGCACAGGGTAGTGGGGCCTTACAAAATTATTCTGTCCTCCTAGGCCTCTGGGTCTGGGATTGGAGGGGCTGCCACAAAGGTCTTTGATATGTCTTTGGGGCCTTTTCCCCATTGTCTTGATTTTTAGCACTTGGCTTCTTTTTACTTATAGAACATTTCTGCAGCCTGCCTGAATTCTTCCCCTGAAAATGGGCTTTTCTTTGCTATCGTATGGTTGGACAGCAAAATTTCAAAGCTTTTACTCTGCTTACCCTGTAAATATAAATACTAATGAAAACACATGTACACAGGGAGGGGAACAACATACACCTGGGGCCTGTCAGAAGTGGAGTGAGGGGAGGGAGAACATTAGGAAGAATAGCTAATGTATGCTGGGCTTAATACCTAGGTGACAGGTTGATAGGTGCAGCAAACCACCACAGCTCACATTTACCTGTGTAACAAATCTGCACATCCTGCACATGTACCCCGGAAGTTAAAACAAAAATAAAAATTAAAAAATAAGTAAATAAACAAAAATAAATTCTAGCTTCAGGTCATTTATTTGCTCACATATATGAGCATAGGTGGTTAGAAGCATCCAGGCCACTATATAAAGACTTTGTTGCTTAGAAATTTATTCCACCTGATAACTTAAATTGTCACTCTGAAGTTTAAGGTTCCATAGATCCCTAGAAAAGGGCACCATACAGTCAGACTCTTTGCTAAATCATAGCAAAAGTGACCTTTACAACAGTTTCCAGTAAGTTCCTCATTTCCATCTGAGACATTCTCAGCCTGGACTTCACTGTCCATATCACGACAAGCATTTTGGTCACAATCACTCAACAAGGCTCTAAGAAGTTCCAACCTTTCCCCCATCTTCCTGTATTCTTCCGAGTCCAAACTTCCAAATTGTTCCAACTTCTGTTCATTACCTATTTCCCAAGTTACTGCCACATTGTCAGGTATCCTTATAGCAATGCCCCACTATTTGGCACCAATTTTCTATATTAGTCCATTTTCACACTGTTACAAAGAAAACCTGAGACTGGGTAATTTATAAAGAAAAGAGGCTTAATTGGGTCACAGTTCTGTGGGCTGTACAGAAAGCGCAACAGCTCCTGCTTCTGGGGAAGTCTCAGGAAACTTTCAATCATGATAAAAATTAAAAGAGAAATGCTATGTCTTACATCTTACACAGTGTTAAGCAATCAGATCTCACAAACTCACTATCACTATGGCAGTACCAAGGGGATTGGTGTAAAACCATGAGAAACCACTCCCATGATCCAATCACCTTCCACTAGGCCCCACCTTCAACACTGAGGTTTACAATTCAATGTGAGATTTGAGTGGGGACACAGATCCAGGTGCCATTTCAGTGCTGTTTTATGGTGTCAATTCATACATAATAGCTATAAATATAGCAGTTATCATCATTATCATTCTAGTAATAAGTGATGTCAATACTAAAAAGAAAATTAATTAGTAAATAAGAGTATAGTAAATTATTCTGGACACTTATAGAACTCTCTCTTTAAATATTCTTCTTTCTGATACTTATATTAAGGTATGTATCCATTTATTGATTTATCAATTTTTTTCTTTTTTAATATTTTTTAGAGTTTTGTGTATTCATAGTTGATGTATATATTGATGGGGGTACATAAGATGTTTGGATACAGGAATGTCATGTGAAATAAGCACATCATGTAGAATGGGGTAACCATCCTCTCAAGCATTTATCCTTTGAGTTAAAAACCATCAAATATTTATTAACTACTACATTCCAGGTGCTATTCTAGTGTTGGGATTACCATTATTGAGATTTTGGTTCAATTCTCACTTCTTAAGAGAAGCATTTTATGCCCCTCCAATCTAAATAAGGTCTCTTCATGATTGTTTCCTTAACACCATGTTTGTGTTTTTTATACATATGTGTAATAATTTTATTTGTATGTTTGTTTGTTTTATATCTCTCCCTCATGGAGAACAGAAGCCAGAACTTGGCATAGTGCTCAACAAATCAAAGGTATCCAATCAATATTAAAAACTGAATGGCATGAAGTATTTAAAAAAGGAGTTTACAAGTAATCAAGTAAAAAATATTATCCCATCCAAGCCAGGTATGAGTATTGCTTAGAAAAAAAGCAGCTGAGAACAAATGAAGTAGAAAGTGGAACATGTATTACAAAATGCACTGATACCTAAGGAAACAAGCAAAATATAGTAAAATGATGGAGATCACTTAGCAAAAAAAATAGACAATAGAGCACAAATGAAAGAGGAGCTAAAGAAGAAACAGACTACAATTCCATTTTTATAAAACATTACATATTTTCAACATATCCACTCCTTAGTGAAAGATACCCATTACCATAGCACCTGATGTTACTTTTAAGTAATGAGGTTTGCAGTGATTTATTTTATTGTTTTAAGTCTTTTCAATTTTTAATAACCATATCTGATGTTATGACATAAGACATTTTTAAAATTTAAAATGAAAATAACAATGGCTAGATTCTAACAATGGTTAATTCCAGGAGATGTGGGATGAGGATGATTATAAGAGTGTAGTATTACAATATTTTCCCTCTGCTTTTCTGTATATATATTTTTATTGTAACCCATAAGACACTTGATGAATTACTTGATGCAATTATGTAAGACAGTGTCTGAGTCTTCTGATGACATTTGTATGCCAGAACAATGGGGAATATCAGAAAACATGTAGGTCACATTTGAAGAATTTGACAAAGTTAAGTACCTATGTAGTTATTTATTCTTGAATTTATGATGCAGCACTATACATTTTTTTGTTTATATGTCTTTTGTGCTAGGATATGAGATCCTCTAGATGGGGAGTTTGTCTTATTTCTTCATTTTCTATAGAATCTGACACATTATAAGGGTTTCACAGGGTCTTGAAAGGAAGTGAGTTGTCTTAGCTCTGACACTAAAGGTCGTGAAAGCTCAGCCATGCCAGGTAACATAACTTTGTTCTTTCTGATAAGCACATTTTCTATTCTCTTCATCATCAATAGAATATGATCTTTCCTGCTGCAGGAATAATGTTTCCAGATTATAGAAATCTTCAGATACTTCAACTCAGGTGAAACACTTAGGTTTCCTCCAGATGAAAACAGGGCTTCGGAAGCTCATCGTATGCTTCATTTAATTACTTGCCAATTCACAGTGTTAAGTTTCTCTTGATGCTAATGGAGCCCTTGAAAACGCTGAGAGAACGGTATGAAATGACCTGATGTTTTAATGGGGTTGAGGGTGGTGAGTGTTAGATATAATTTAATCTATAGGAACTAATAGCTTTTGAAATAATTATGCCACTTGACTATCAACTGGAAAGCTACTCAGCGTAATTGAACACATATTCCAACTCAGAAAATTGTTGCTTCTTTCTTTTTTTTTTTTTTTTTTTTTTTTTTTTTTGAGATGGAGTTTCGCTCTAGTTGCCTAGGCTGGAGTGCAGTGGCACAATCTCGGCTCACCACAACCTCCACCTCCCAAGTTCAAGCGATTCTCCTGCCTCAGCCTCCCAAGTAGCTGGGATTACAGGCCTGCACCACCACGCCCAGCTAATTTTGTATTTTCAGTAGAGATGGGGTTTCTCCATGTGGGTCAGGCTGGTCTCGAACTCCTGACCTCAGGTGATCCACCCATCTCAGCCTCCCAAGGTGCTGGGATTACAGGAGTGAGCCACCACACCCAGTCTTTGTGTTCTTGATGTAAATACTGGGACAATTGTTCTCACTTTAAGAACACAGTTGGCAGCACCCAATTATGACTTCATTCAGTGATCATTTAAAAAAATTTTCAGCTATATATGTAAATTTAAAAGTGAACATTTTTATAGGTGTGTGTATTTATATATACATGTCTTATGCTTTTATTTATGTTTGTACATACATTTAAACATATTAATTTAATTTTAAAATGTGAGAAAAACACATATGAAAATTGTTCTGTTTTACTCTGACACCCAATACATCAATTTGTAAATCCACAGAGTGAGACGATGCCACTTTGGGGACCACTCACTAAATAAAGGCTTGAATTAGACTGTGTGGACATATCGTGGCTCCTCCATCAATTAGTTTGGGAGCACAAGAAGTCTTTTATTCTCTCTGAGCTTGATTTCTCCATTATGAAATGGTCTCCCCCAGCAACCACAGTTGCACTCACACTACCACTCTGTGCATATGGCGCACTGGAAGTACCTCTACTGAGCCCCCTCTGCCTTTCTTTGTGGTTGTGGCATAAACATGTGTCACACACACACACACACACACACACACACACACACACACAAAATGGCTCTAGAGCTCAGTACTGTGCTAGGAGCTCTTCTGAAGAGGCTTTAAGAAGGTCAAAGAATGACAATAAATTATTACTTATTTGGTTTGCTTTGTTTTGTGTTTCACCTCATTCAAAAATATTTATTGACTTTTACTTAGGTACCAATGTCTGGCTTATAGGTAGTGCTTAATAGATATTAATGGTTACATTCCTTATAATGGTTATACTGAAAGGACTGTAACATCCTGATAACAGTCATTTCTTCAGCGTGTTTGGTGTGTATCCCAAGGCACTCGGCGTGCTAAATTATTAGAAAATAGACTCTGCTCCTTTCAATAAAATACTCATCTTGAAATTATTTGTATAGGAATTATATGTGGACTGCCCTCCATTTACATTTTTTAATTAAAAAGTATCATAAATTGTGTCCTGATATGTTCTCCTGTTATCTTTCACCATGGCCCCCCAATTATCTTTCCAGTGGGATTACTGGAGAACACTGCCAGAGGAACAGAGGGATGCACATTGTCTAGTTCCACAAAAATCCAGCTATATAAAGAGTTGCCAAGAGTACACCAACTAAAAACAACTCATTAAATAATAAGTTCTGAGGATTTGTACAAAGAACTGGTAAAAGATAAATAAAACCTATATGAAACACAGAATCTTAACATATTAAAAATCAAAGAGTGTGAGTTTTAAACCTTACTTCTAAATGTTTGGCAATACTCCCATTAAATGGTGAGGAATAATTCCTTTTTCCTTGACTATAAACTTACTTTAGTGACTTTTGTGTATTGCATAGAATGAGTGGAAGCAATGTGGTATGACTTTTGACAATAAGTTAGAAAAGTGACTGTATCTTTCACCTCTTTCTCTCTCTCTCCAACTTCACAGAATGTATTTGGAATCACGAGCTGCCTTATTGGAAGTCCAGTTACTTTGAAGCCACCATGCTGGGGATTCCACAAAGCAAATCATACTGGAGACATCATCCCAGCTGTTCTCATCCCCAGAGCCTGCTGAAGCCAAATGGAGCAGTAGTGACCTACCCCTGCCAATTCCTGTCCAAATAGTACATTTATAACTAAAATAAATATTGCTACAGCTTTCTGTGAGTAAATATCAGTGAGGTTTATTACGTCAATAAAAAGAACACAGTGAATCTTCATGGAACATTTTAAGATTCTGTAGTTTTAAAATTAAAACAAATATTCTTTACTGTAACAAACCCAGTTTTTTCTATTTCCAAGACTGATTTAGTCTTGCATGCCTCCTGAGCCACCTCCCCACTGGAGGGCTCCAACAGGTCTGCCTCCTTGTCTTCTGCAACTACCATCTTTCTGGTTTTTGTTTTTGTTTTTTTCAGCATTCCTCCAGGGAAGGATCAGCCTTCAGCAGGGACTCTATTGCACCCATTGCTGGGAGCCAGCTACAGCAGTTGCAGTTCTGTATAATCCAAGTGCCCACAGAGTCCCTGGCCTCTCCTGGCAACAATTAAACCAAAAGAGAGCACTGGTTATCACACGGTTTAATAGATAGGGTAATTCAGGATGAAAAAAAGTGTTAATTATTGTGGCCAATGCTATTTTTGCTTCTCAGCATCTCTTAACCCACCATCTGGTAACTTTAACTTAACTTTGTTTATTGTTTTTCAACTTGGAACATATGACTTATTAAATGTGACCTCTCCACTGATTTGCAAATGTTGCATGTGAGAGAAAACACAAGATTTCCTTGTTGACACATACCACTAAATGTAAAAGCCTAGATCCATAAAACCAATTTCCAAGGCTT